AAAAGGTTCGCATGAGTGTGGAATATTGATGTACATTTTTCTGGTCCCCTTTTTGGCTGTAGCCCATGCCTGTATTCAAAGACCATGTATTCTATTCCATATTACTAAAATTATTGTGCCGGTGAATTTTGTGCAAATATTAGTTTGAAAATTTGATTGAGTGTGATTTTGAGATGTATATAAAATTATAAATAATATTTAAAATATAATAATCAAAGTTGACGTAATACAAAAGTACGACAAAAGTTATTAAAATTGATAATTAATTAAAATTATATTAGTGGATGAATAGTGAATTAATGTGACAAAAAATCAATTTTAGGCCGATTCCAATTTGTCATTTTGGTGAATCGGAATCGACCTGGGAAAGACTAAGGGCTGGTTCAATAAACCAACGGTCCTGGTTCAGAATCGACCGACGGTTCAAGGCCGATTCGAGAAATTAAAAATAACTAAACTAAACCACCAAATTAGATTGATTTTGCTCATCCTCAAGGAATATACTATTTACCCTAAATACAATTGTAATTTTTGTGCTTGAGTGCTGTTAAATTGAACGAGTCTGGCTCGCCTTGGTTAGAGTTCGACTCGGCTAATTTGATAAACGCTCATATTATTTTTGTTTGGTCGGCTCGAAAAGAAAATTTTTATATAATTTTTTATAGTTTGACTTGTTAATAGTGATTAACAAGAAGAGGTTGAGGTCAACTTCAGACTCGTTTATTTAACGAGCCATATTCAACTCGACTCATTAAGGGCTCGAGCTCAAGTTCAGCTTGATTGATCTCGTTTACAAGCCCTTGACCCGTTGACCGGACCAAAAGAACCCCACGAATTCCAGTCTCTTTTTCCCTTTTATATTCCATTTTTTTAAATAAAAAATATTTACCATATCCGTTTTAACCTTTTCTTGCTCAACAATCCAATTCACTTTTATCCACTAATTTTTATAAAACCCTCCTAGAACCCTACACTCTCCAAACTTTTATCCATTCATTTATAAAACCCTCATTGAACCCTACACTATCAAAACTACACCAAATTTGCTTCGGTACATACTCTACACAGCCACCACTATGTATCGCTTTGTCAATAATCTAGCTTCTAAAGCAAGGTACTCAATGGGCTTCTTGTTCATCTTATCCTCCGATCTAATTTATGGCTATTTTTCTTGTTAATGATTTTTCTTGTGTTTCTTCGATCTGTTCAGGGCTGCAAGGAGCAGCCAACTGGTGCGTTCTCTTTNAATAATTTATCCTTTTGGCTTTATTGTTCTTCTGGTGCCTTTCGTTTTCTAAAAAAGTTTTGATTGTTAAATGTGTGTAGGCCAGTAGTAGGTTGTCCTGGAGCAGAAATTATGGGGCGAAGGACATTAAATTTGGGGTGGAAGCTCGGGGCGCCATGCTTAGAGGCGTGGAAGAGCTTGCTGACGCTGTTAAGGTTACAATGGGGCCTAAAGTAAGTTTTAATTAATTATCTTTTGTGGGCTGAATTTGATTTAAATCGACTGTGATTGTGCCTGAATACCATTAAAAACCCTGCTTTGATGGTTTTGGCGACAACTAAGGTTAAATATATATGGTTTTAGTTTATTTAATGAGGAAAAGTATGAAACTTGGAGGCCTTGACTGAAAATTTTGTTGTGGGAATGCAACTTATTTTAGTTTCTTTTAGTCTGTTTCATTTTTTGTTCTCTTTTAGGAAATTAAAGTTGCTCTCTTTTTGTATATTATCTTTTTAGTTTATGTAATTGATTAATTGTGTTTTGTTGCTCTAGGGCCGTAATGTTGTGATAGAACAAAGCTATGGGTCTCCAAAAGTGACAAAGGATGGTGTTACAGTGGCAAAGAGCATTGAGTTCAAGGATAAAGTAATGAATGTTGGTGCTAACCTCGTAAAGCAGGTCTCCAATGCCACTAATGATGTTGCAGGGGATGGTGAGTCTCTTGTTCTGTTATCCAATTTTTATTTATTTATTTATTTTTATTTTTGGGTCATGTTTACATGTACTTAAACAGATAAAGGTGTAAAATTTGTGCTTGGCTGACCATTGGGGCTTAGTTTTTGATTTTTCTGACCTTCTGTTTGGGTAGAATCTCTTATTGACAAAGAATGACAACTGGTCCTTTAATTTATCTTATCTTTTCAGGTACTACTTGTGCAACCATACTTACTCGTGCAATATATGCCGAAGGATGCAAATCAGTGGCAGCTGGAATGAATGCCATGGACTTGAGACGTGGGATCAACTTGGCAGTTGATACAGTAGTAACAAACTTGAAAAGCAGAGCCCGAATGATCAGCACATCTGAAGAGATTGCACAGGTTACATTTTTTGGCTTCAGCAATTCGTATGTTAAGATGGTGATGTTTATTTTCCTCTTTATTATAACTTGTCTCCCAAAATGCGGACCTTTTTTAATGAATAGGTTGGTACGATATCTGCAAATGGAGAAAGAGAGATTGGTGAGCTCATTGCCAAGGCTATGGAAAAAGTCGGCAAAGAGGGGGTTATTACCATTGCAGTAAGTGACAATTTTCTTGTTTTGTTTATTCCTTTAAAAGCAAGAACTTAAGTCAATTTCCCTTTATTTATTATCCGCTGATGTTAATAATACCTTGTTCAGGATGGGAAGACACTATATAATGAACTGGAGGTTGTCGAGGGTATGAAGCTTGACAGGGGCTACATATCTCCTCACTTCATCACCAACCAGAAAAACCAAAAATGTGTAAGTTACAACTGGAGTGTATAGAATAATAATCATATTTTCCTTGGCCGAGGCTCTTCGATTGATGTTGATTTGTTTTTTTTTTTGGTAAAATGTTTTTATGGACTATTGATCTTTTTTTCTCTTGTTTGCATGATAGGAATTGGAAGATGCTCTAATTTTAATCCACGAGAAGAAAATAGAAAGCTTGACTGCCCTGGTGAAAGCCCTAGAGATAGCTTTGAAGGTAAAGTTAGTGTTATCAAAATCTTAACTGGTGGTCTCATGTTACATGAAATATTTACCATGATTTTCTAAATTATTTCAGAAGCAAAAACCTTTGTTGATTGTTGCTGAAGACTTAGAGAGTGATGCATTGGCAACTCTCATTCTGAACAAGCTTCGAGTTGGATTGAAGGTGTGCCTAAGACCATTTTGCATTTGTACAACAATATCACATGTTTCTCAATTTATTTTTTCATAAGTTAACATTGGTCGATGATTTATTGATGCATCTTTAACCATTGTAAAAATTTCTCGGATATTCAGGTGTGTGCCATTAAAGCTCCTGGATATGGAGATAACAGGAAGGCATATTTACAGGACTTAGCAGTCTTAACAGGAGGGGAGGTAATGTTGACTCTCTCATCTCTCTCTCTCTCTCTCTCTCTCTCTCTCTCTCTCGGAATACTTATCATGATTACTTTATTGCTTATTATAAATGTAGGTCATCACAAATGAACTGGGAGTGGATCTTGAAAACGTGACCATTGACATGTTTGGCTCATGCAAGAAGGTGAGATGAAAATGTGTCTGTTCTTTCTTTCATATGCTTAATGGAGGTACAAAATCTTAATACATAATTACGTGTTTGAATGTATCCTTTATGTTGTCTTTTGGACTGAAAACATCAGGTTACTGTATCAAAGGATGACACGGTTATTCTTGATGGAGATGGTGACAAGAAATCGATTGAAGAAAGATGTGAACAGGTTTATGCCATATTATTTTTAGGTTTTATGTTTAAATGTTTCTAACAATTCAATGGGAAAAAGTTGTTCTTACTTCTTTGTTAGAGCACAATCTCAAATTCATGGATTTTGTTCGACAGTTGAGGTCAGGAATCGAGTTGAGCACTTCTGATTATGACAAAGAGAAGCTTGAAGAGAGACTTGCTAAGCTTTCCGGTGGTGTTGCTGTCTTAAAGGTAAGACTTTAGAAACAAAAAACTTAGATTTTTTTGATAATAATAATGATTGCCTCACACATCGCCTGTGCTGATTTTATTAGTTTACAAAGAGAAAAACTTCATTTATCTTCTAAAAATTTTAAGTATTCTCATTTGGGGTTATATGAGATTTGTGTTTATTGCCTTAGAAATATTTGCCTTCACATCTTCAGTATGCAATTTGTAAAGATGAAAGACATGTGAAGAAGCGTATGCAGTTTTTTAACATAATTCGGTTTATAGTAATTGTGCTACACCTCAACAGGCAGTTGTTGTAAATTGTAATAGACCCTTTATATTATTTCCTTTTGAATAACCTGTGATTTTGTGAATGCATGCTTAAGATTGGTGGAGCCAGTGAAGCTGAGGTTGGTGAGAAAAAGGACAGAGTTACTGATGCTCTTAATGCAACAAAAGCAGCTGTCGAAGAAGGCATTGTACCTGGTAACTTACACCGTCTTGCTGTACTTTATTTCTTTTTTATTTAAAAATTATTGTATTTTTTTGGTAAAAGATTGCCATTAATACCCCTTCAAAAGCCAAACTTCTCTCCAGCTGTGTGGCCCAATTTATGCATGTTAGTTTCAAAGAATAACTACTAAAACTACCCCCCTAAGAGATTCAACCCGACTGCAAAATAGATTTACCTCTTAGTGTTACAAATTTACCCCTTAAAGTGTTTCAATTTGCAAACAACCATTTGAGGGAACTATTGTGAAAGGGATATTTGTTTTTGTAGAAACCAGAGTTACTCAATAAATCTCAATGGTTGTCTGTATATCTAACTGCAATTGAATTTAACAGGTGGTGGAGTTGCTCTCCTTTATGCTTCCAAGGAACTGGACAAGCTGCAAACAGCCAACTTTGACCAGAAAGTTGGTGTGCAGATTATCCAGAATGCACTCAAGGTTTGCGCCTATGTCCTCATTTAGTCATCAACCTCTAAAAGAAGTAAAAATGGACTAGTCACCTGAAGAAAGATACACAAATTTTTTTACCTATCCATATATTCTTCTCATCCGTGAATAGAGTCTGAAAAATGCATGAATTTCTTATATTTTTTTGCTGTGGCAGGCTCCCGTACACACGATTGCCTCAAATGCTGGAGTTGAAGGGGCTGTTGTGGTTGGAAAGCTTTTGGAGCAGGATAATCCTGACCTTGGTTATGATGCGGCTAAAGGTTTGTATGATGCCCTCGTAATTATTCCTCAAGTCGCTCGATTATTTTGAGAAATTCACTTATGGTTGGTGGGTTTTTCATTATTTGGAAAAAAAAAAAAAAATACAAAATGTACATATTTATTTTATGCCACTGTACTGAAAATGAATTAAGATAGTAATGTCCCTCGTCGTTATTATCTTGTAGCACTTACCAATGAGACCCTTATTATCTTGTAGCACTTACCAATGAGACCCTATCGATTAGTAGTCTTAAAAACAAGGGGTATATTACATTGGAAAAAAAAAAACCCAAAATTGTACAATATAAGCTCATTCTCTTTTTTCGAATGTCTGATCAGGCGAGTACCTGGACATGGTTAAGGCTGGAATTATCGATCCATTGAAGGTTATCAGAACTGCCTTAGTGGATGCTGCCAGGTAAAATAATAATAATAATAAAAATTACTAGTAATTTTTTCATTGCAGTTTTTTCTAAGATTTCCATTATATTCTTACTCAGCTTGATTGGCCTAATGATTATAAATATGTTGTGGTGTAGTGTGTCTTCATTGTTGACGACAACAGAGGCTGTTGTATATGAGCTCCCGAGGGATGAGAAGCCAGCTCCGGCAGCCGGGCGAGGCGGCGGCATGGGAGGAATGGGCGGCGGAATGGGAGGAATGGGCGGCATGGGAGGAATGGGATTTTGAGCTCTGGATTTTATTTATTTTGTAGTTTATTTTTGAGGCCTGGTTCAATATATTTTATTTTGTAGTTTATTTTTGAGGCCTGGTTCAATATATTGAATGTGTTGATTTTTGAGGCTAGGGTGAAATTGGACACATATTCTATCTCAATCTATTTTACCTGAATCAATTCATCATCTGTTTCATCTTTTTCACTCTTTTCCTTTTTCTTTTTTTTTTTTTTAACAAACGATAGAAACTTCCATTACTCACAGCAGCGAAAATAGAGTCCTGTGACCCACTGGTCACCAAAAAAAACACTTGACCGCAATCAACGATTGGAAAGCCAAGCAGGAACATCTTCACACCAGTCATTGGCTACAAGGATTAACTACAGCATCTAATGCTGAAAAAGCAAAACCTTCAGAATTTACAGACACATCACTAACAAAACAGCAGCAACTCAAGAGAACCTTCAGAATTTGCAGACACATCAGTAACAAAATAACAGCAACTCAAAAGAGAAACCAATCTTCAGCTATCAGCTTCATGTGATCTTCAAACTCCCTGGCAGCGTCAAGGCCTGGACCATAGCCTCATCATCTAAGTTCACATAATTGGGTTTGTCATATCCTTTAGGTAAACTAATTCTGTCAAGCTTTACTTTATAAAGTCGATTTAAACATAATTGCATATCAAACATACCATCCACTAGAAACAAAGGAAACTCGAGAATTCAAGATTAAAAACAAATATCAATAAAACAAAAAGGTGACATCTTTCTTTACTTACAGAAAACATAAGCCAACTCCAAAACTCCACACATTCTGTGCACTAGTTTACACATTAGAGTTCAACTAAACCAAACTACACCACATTATTATCAGCATTAAACATAAAATAAAACAACATGAAAAAGACAAATTCTTCCAACGAAAACTTTCTTATGCTTCAAATCATTCACGTAAAAAGAAACTCATATATCGAATAAATTACCGGCGTTTACTACTGGAGTGGGCACTGGTGTGAACTCGTTCCAAAGGGGCAACGGCACGGTAACTTCCAAAGCTCCCTGTAAAGAGTGATTCTCAAACATCCAATTATCAAACTGCAAATCCAACGCTTCATAATTTATTATGTTTCCAAGAAAGTGGGAATTATCAGCTAGTACCGGATCTTGTTGGAAATTGTCTACAGGCCCTTTAATCCGAATGCTTTTCTTCGAGCCAGCACCCTGGTGCTTATTAGAGTACACCTGCAATTGTAAAACATGTGAGTTCAAATCGTTCAGGCTTGAATTTATACTTGCTGAAAACCAACCGCGACTCCAACCTGAGCCTGAGGTTGAGAAAATTGGTTCCCTGAGTTGTTTCCCGCACTTTGATTGGGCAGGATTACGGATCTTGAATTCTCATAAGCAGTGTAAGCGGAACTATTAGAAGAACGGGTCCCAGTGCTTCTTTGGCGCGCGGTACTGTGCACGGTGTGGGCTGCGGACGAGCAACGCCTCTCCTTGGGCATTTTCTTGATTTCTGACACGGGGCCATTTTTCTTCTTGATTTCTGACACGGGGCCATTTTTCGAGAGCTGGGACCCAAGCGGACGGACGTTGTGCAACTTCGAGATCGGATTTTTGCTAACTGTTGTGGGCTGCGGCCTGTAAACAGGGGCCACGGGGGCCCGGACTTGATGGTGCTGTGGGGCCGGCGTCTGAGCCAAAAGGGGTCTGGCTAGGGTGGTGTTATTGATGAGGGGGGTGACAGCTAGCGCGGGATTAGAGATTGGATTTTTGCTGATGGGTGGGCCCGCGGGCTGCAGCATGTAAACAGGGGCCACAGGGGGAAGCCCGATGGGATAATGGGCCAGTGGGCCCAGTTGAGCCAAAAGGGGTCTGGCGACAGCTGGCACGGGATTCGGGACTTTCTTGATTCGTTTACGTTCGGCCAGCCAGTACTCGTCTTTATCGGTTGCGTGGCAATGGTCGGAACTGGAAAGTCCAGTCCCCCAGAAGAGGCATGGGGCCACTGAATCGCACACATAACAGTAGCACTGAAATTTTAAGGAAGTTTTGAATCAAACATGGATTTGTATATGTGGGAGTGCATTTATCTGAAGAAAGTTTCGTGTTTATCATGCGTCGTTCTATGATTTAGGAATTTACCTGTTCCTTCTCTTTTTTTTTTTTGTGTGTTTGTGTGCGTGTGTGGGCATGTGAAATTAGGTGAAAGCACCTTCACAAGGGTGCTTTTCTTAAATCATGCTTAGGAATAAATTACCAGGCTACAATGGATCTCGTGCCTAGTTGAAGCAAATCGATATTTCGCACAAAGATGTCGTGCGTGAGGGAAGTCTCTGCATGCAACCTACAAAGCATAGAAAAAACAGACAAAAGTTCGGTTTAACTTCTAATTAACAGCTGCACAAAGATTGAGCCAGAAAGGGAATCCAGTAATCCACTGTCAATTAATGAGTGATAGAATTGTGATGGCATATACACTTACCATTCCATGATCACGTCAACAAGTAAACATCATTCATAGACTATCAAATATGGCCCAACTTGAAAGATATATGCTTACATAAGTTGTAACCAATGAAGACCTCTCGCCCAGAAACAGTCAAACTAAAATTGAAAATTCAAACAGAACAAACAAAGTACACACATCCATACACAGATATATGACTGAAGCAGACATTTAGACATGTACTGTGCACAGAACAGCAAAATTACAAAGGAATTACACAAATTCTAGACAAAATAAGCATGAGAATGCAACTATACACTCATCGATCAGTAGATCAAGAATAAATATATCAGTGAAAAATCTTATCGTGGTTGAAATGAACATAAAAAAACATATACAGGGAAAAACAACACAATAAAAAAATACACATATTACCTCGCCCTTCTCGGCAACAATCACCACATCATCGACCTTAACGCCAATTGATTTTGGGTGCTGCCACCCCCAGTTTATCAGGGTCACCTTCCAAAACCACACAATCATCGTCATCACCACCACCGGAAAAGCTACCAGACGGCTTCAAAGGCTCACGCCTCGGTTTCTTGGGAGGCTTCTGAAAAGTCCCATCCACCAAAACGACGCCACACTTCTGAAGAGCCTCAAAAAAAATCTGCGACAGCCACTTATCCCTATCCACAGATCCAGGCCGACCAACACCGCTGCCGTTTTGGGCTCCTCCAAATTCCATCTCCTCCAAAAATAACAAACTTCGGAGAACGAATTAGGGTTCAAGAGGAGGCAAGTAGGCACGCCGGCAGCAGGTGTGATCACGCAAGAGGGGCTACAAGAATTGGGGGGAAAAAACTCTAATTCCATAAAAGGGTAATAGCTCAGGGGTTTTCAGTTGGCCGGGGTCAATTTTGTTGCGTGGGGTGGTGGTACGGTTTTTTTCCCGCTCGAATACTGTGAATTTGTGTGCACGTGGGCTCACTGGAAAAGTAAACGAAATTTGATTTAAATTTAAATAAATACTAGTACAACACCCGTTTATTACACGGGTGCTTGTTAAAAAAATATTCTTAAATTTTAAAAGTTAATGAAAAAAATTATTTCAAATTTTATTTACTTTTTTTACAAAAAACATATATTATTTATATATTTTAGAATAACACTTGTTACTTGTGTGACATACATGTGTTATATTATAATAATTTTTATAATTTATATCATATAACTATTTGAAATATAAATATATTAATTGATACATAATTTTATTTTTTAATTAATATTAAAATATAATTTTATTATTTTATAAGATAAATATAATTTTTTTTATACATATAATATGGATGTTAAATCGAATTCATCAAAAGATGATTAATTTGATATATTATATTGTAAAACTGATAAAAAATACAAAAGTTATTAACTTTTAAAATATATTTCCAATTCAATGATTACAATAAGAAATGATATTAAAATGAAATTAATACATGTAACTTGACCATAAATAATCAACATATTTATGGATACTCCGAACCTAATTATTTTTTGATTGAAAGTAAATTAAAATATACCCAAGCCTAATAACAAAGCATGTAATTTTGGCACATAAGATCCCGAAGCATACGAGTCTGTCACTTAAACTCAGCACGTTCTGAATTAATATATATATATATATATATATATATATATATATTAAAATGAAATTTTGGGATTAAAGACAACTATGTTAAATAGTAACTCATTTTGTTTTCATTTATTTTTTCTTTTAACTAGTGTTGATTTTTTAGCAACATGACCTGAGGCGCTAGATTAAGATTGAGGGAGATTCTGCAGTCCCGTTACGGAACTATTCCGTCAGGATTGGTAACCGTTAGATCAACTATCCACGATGGTTACATGATGATCTAACGATTACAAATCCCAACGGAATAGTTCCGTAACGAGATTATAGCATTTCCCTAAGATTGTATCATTCATTTTTCATTTTTTTTTTTTTTTTTTTTTTTTTTTTNTTATCACTGTTTGTTTTTTAACAACGTTAAACATGAACCTCTAGCATGTAAGCTAAAAAATATATTGGGGCTAGATCATTCATTTTCATCTTTTTTAATTAGTATTGTCATTTTTAGCAAAGTTAAACCTGAGTCGCTAGCTTGTAAGTTAAATAATATATTATCTCACTAACACGTTTATATTTGATATTGAATATCATACTGAGTCGACTTAATCCAATAAGAAAATGATACATAGCCAACCTAGTGTACTACTAGGTTGACAACACAAGTGAGAAACATTCACAACTAGGTTGACAATGTAGCATTTCCCATCCAAGAAACAATCTGACCGAAAGAAGTAAGCCGACAGGTCGAAGAAAGGCCGAAGGCGCTTCTGGTCGAAGAGTTCTCAGGTTGATGAGGATGTGATAGTGATCATAGCAACACTGACGTGTCGAGCTAGGGCCCCCAGATGGCCTGATTGAAACTCGACATGAATGTATGACTGGTCGTATGGTCGACCTATGAGCTCGGCATTGGAAACACTCTACTTTGAGGTAATCTGAGTCGGTCGCACAATTAGACTATCTAATATGGCAGACTACTGGATAAAAACGAATATTATTTGGATAAGAACCACACGTGGATAGGGCCACGTGGCCTAATTGGACAGTTTGGGCAGTCTTGGACAACAAAGTAACACACCCTTATATAAAGGGGTCAGGTACGTCCATTACATCCTCTACACACTCTCTGCATACTTACTTACAGAACTTTACTACTTTTCATTGTCTTCTTTAAGTTCTGACTTGAACGTCGGAGACTTTACACCGGAAAACTACCCGGTGTTGGAGTATCACTTGTGAGTTGTTCCACTTTGACTCTATAGAGAAATTGGGCCTAGTATATATATACATAGTGGGCTACTCCTCCCATCACCAATAGATTTTAGGATGGAACCTCACTATGGTGCACCTAGGCACACTCTCTTATGGTGTGCTTCATCTGCGTAGGACCGCACCTTCTTGCCCGATTCTCTAAATCTTACATGGTGTCAGATCCAGGCGGACTCCTGCCTGGGTCTCTATCTCTACTCAGCCAACTTCATTCTGGGTCTCTATCTCTACCCGGCCTGCTATGGGCTTCGACTTACTCTCTACCCAGCTTACTCTAGGCTTGGGTTTATGATTGATTCACAAGTGAGGGGGCGTGTTGGAGTATCACTTGTGAGTTGTCATATATTGATTCTATAGGGAAATTAGACCTAGCATATATACCTAGTAGGCTACTCTCCCATCACCAATTGGTTTTGGGATGGAACCTCACAATGGTGCACATAGGCCCACCCTTTTATAGTGCACTTCATCTGCGTTGGACCGCACCCTCTTGCCCGATACTCTAAATCTCACACATTGAGTTTGTGCAGGTATCAAAGTTCATCAACGGGCGAGGAAGATAATCCAGGTCGAAGAAAGCCGATCCGAGGTCTTTTACATACCAATACTGATATAAATTTGATTTTATTATATATATATATATATATATATATATTTATTTCTTAATGTAAGAAAAATTAATATATTATCCCGGTAGCCCCGTTTATACTGATATAAATTTGGTTTTATTATTTATATTTATTTTTTAATACAAGTAATAATAACTATACACACATGTTTTTTATAATTTATTTTTTCACAATAATTAAACAACTTTGATTTAGCAATTGCCATAAAAATAAATCCTTTCTATAATCAAGAAAATTTCTAATTTTATTCTTAAAACTTTATAGTCTATTTAGCATACTATGCAATGAAAATATATTTTACAATAAATTCTTTGTAGAAAGAAAACAAAATTAAAAAGAAAATGATAGAAAAATTTCATGGTTGACAATAATATACAAATAAATCACATGTTGAAATTCTAAAGAATAGTAATATATATAAATTTTATTATCTGGCCATTAGTAAAACTACTTAATATATCTAGTCATTATCTTTTAAATGGTAAATTATATGAATTTGAAGATTTATTTGTTTTCTATACAATCAAATAAAGCTTAAAAAAATTATATTGGCAAAGCTTGTTAGTGGCCAAGCCAGGAAAGCACGAGGGAAAATTATTTCACCAATTTGATTTTTCTTAATTAATTGGAAGGAAAAAATTTATCTAACCTGTTACGATTTGATATAAATATTTTAGGATGAAAAGTCATTATTTGTGAAAAAAATTAATAATATGGTTAGAACTTAAAATCTATTTTCATGTTTATTAGCCAAAATATTATCAACATGAATCACGAAAAATCAATTTGCTGTTTGTTATAATGGATATCAATAAATATTGCAAATGCTGATAAAATTATTCAAGGAATAACCACCAATTTCAAACTTGGTTTCCGTTCTTCTTTTCGCCATCGACGAGCTGTGTACAAGGTGTATATTTTGGAAAGGTCCCAAAATTTTAATATGCTTTGAATGTTCCTATAAATTGCAAAGTTTACAGAGTTGAAAAATGCCAGACGGCAGCCCTTGCACAGGTGAGTTACATTTTCATTTTGTTATTTTCTTCTTTTGAGTTATGTATTATTTATTTTGTGCGTTTTTTTATTTTATATATTTTTTTAATTTTATTGGTCGCTTATGCATGTAATGTGTTTTTTATGTGTATATATATATATTTTTTTTATCACTGTTTCTTTTGTACCTCATTTTTTGTGAATATTCGCATTGGTTTGTGTTGTTCTTAATGCCCATTTTACTTATTTTTTTATTTTTTAAGTTTGGCTACATACTTTTGAAATGGTTATTTGCGCTAAGATTAAGAAAGATAAAAGAAGTAATAAAATAAAAATGTGAGCGTGGCAGTGAATGAACATCTGAACAACGAAGCTTTGAACTAAAATCAATTTTGAGTTTTAACAATTCTAGTTCTTTATGGTTCATATCNTAAATAAAGACACATATTTGGGATTAACATTGTTCTCATATTAGGCCTAAATTTTATTATATTGTCATCACTAACATAGACATTGAAATGGAGGACGTTATCGTGCTCATTGAGGAAGTAATTAACGTGATGAAAGTTTTTTTCTTGCTTGGTTTTGTTTATGTTAAATTATGTGGCCAAAGGAACCGTTCCCATAGGGAGTATTACGATGAAACAAGGGCTTCGTTTAGTATGTCTGAGAGACTACCAAAATATTGAACACATGAAAGAACTTATACGTATTAGTGATAAAGCATGTGTCAAGCAACTTCGCATGGATCAAGCAACTTCACATGGATCAAAATACATTTGGTCATTCATGTTATCTAGTGGAGCACATAGAAAAACTTGATGGATCCCGGACTGTTGAGGTTAGTGAGCAAGTGGCCATCTTCTTGAATGTCCTCAGCCACCAGAGAAAAAAAAAATACTGTTGTTAAATATAATTTCAAGCGGTCAGGTCAAATAATTATCAAACTATTTCATAGAGTACTCAATGTTGTGCTTCGTTTACACTCATTACTTGTCGTTCAACCAAAAGCAGTAGACGAGTCAAACACAGGTTGGAGGTAGAATTGGTTTAAGATTAGTGAAAAGGTGACAAGAAATCAAAGAGTTTTCATTTTTTTTATAAAGTTTACTTAAAATGCATGAAAAATGAGGACAAGACCAATATTTTTTTTTATTCCATTATTACACATGGATGTTTGGGAGCATCAGATGGCACATACATTCTTGTGCGTGTGCCCCAGTCATTTACGCCCGATTTATAGAAATAGATAAAAGTGCTATTTCTGTAAATGTTGGCGGGTTGGGAAGGGTCGGCTACGGACAATCAAGTTTTGAGGAAGCGTCGTTGTGCTGGTGGTTTACGTGCCCCTATTGGTGAGCACAAAAAAATTAATTGAACGACTTTAATTTTCAAATGACCATGATATCGGATAGTAGTTAAATTTACCCACTTTTGACGCTTTCACAAGAAGCTATAAATGGAGGATACACAAATGGACCTGGGTTTTTGACTCCCTATAGTGGTGTACAGTATCATATGGATGATTTTGGGGAAGGTTTATGTACACCTAGAAATTATAGGAAACTATTTAACCTACGACATGCTAGAGCAAGGAATGTCGTCGAGAGAGTGTTTGGCGTATTGAAGCTGAGATGGACGGTTTTGAGGAGCAAAACATTCTTTGACATAGTTACCCAAAATAAGGTCATTTTATCGTGTTGCTTCCTTAAAAACTTCATACGTCAGTCTATGAGTAGTGATCCTATAGAAGTCGATTATGAGGATTTCTTAAATGAACCAAGTACCTAGGAGTCGTTATATCCAGATGAGTTTGTGGATGTTGTGGAGCCAACGCCAGAGTGGACGAACTGGAGGGACGCTATGGCCATGGAAATGTACAATCAATGGGGCAGTGAAAATTGATCTTGTTTTTTACTGCATTATTAAGGTACAAACTTGGTCTTGTTTTTAAATGGGAGGTTTTTCAGACTACGCCATAATGGATGTTGTATTTTCATCATTCCCGTTTCTATGTTTGCAAGACTTTCTTGTGATGTTTAAATATTCTTAACACTAATATTATGTGAACAACACATTGTGGTTTGATTACATGATGTTTTACCTATTTGACTTTGAAGCATGGGGCCGTTGACCATCTATTTTGTTCCACTAACAACCATGCCACANACTTTTTGGCCTAATTTTTCTTTTTTAAAATGCTACAAGTACATAATAAATTTTTATAGGGATGTACATAACACTCACTTGGAGTGGGGTCTATTTAATTTTTTATTTGAGAAAATTACACCTGCCATGATGTAATCTCATTTATATTGCACGCTTACAAAATCCCATCTTTTATTTGCAGTATTACGAGAAATATTTGATAAATAATTTATAGTAACCCCTTTCTCTCTCCTAAAGTCAAACGTTCCTATATTTTTTGTAACCCCTTTCTCTCTCCTCGCCATTATCCTTCCGAGAAGAAAATAATTCTCCTTTCATTTCCGGCGAGCCACCCGCCGCAAGAGCAACCTATCGAGAGCCCAACCATGAAGCATCGCAGCACCGTCGCCCTCCTGTTATTCGACTGACACCACCGTGAACACCGTCCTCCCTTACATCCAATCCCGACGAGTTCGAACTCACGCCGCCCGACAACCGTACACCTGACCCTCCCGACGAGCCTCACCACCAACCTTGTCCAGCTTCTCACAAAACAACCCAGCAACCCGCGATTTCCGACCAACATCCGACGCCTTGATCTGGTGTTATTTCCAGTATATGTTCTGTATATGTTCGGTATATAACGACTAAGTTGGTCTATCTACTGTATATTTTTGTATATAATGACCTATATATTCAGATATCACAATTTTGGTGTAGATGAAAGTGCTATGTAAATAAAAAAAATGAGATATTTACGGAATATATACTAACTAAAAACACAATATATATTGTTTTTAAAAAAAAGTTGAACATATACTGACTATAAACGCAATAAATACTGACTATTCAAAAATCTGAGAACTAACTTTGAGAATTGAAACCTACCATTAACGCAATCAACTCACCAGGGATGTACTTCCNTTTTGTAACTATATATTTGCATATACACAAATAAATGCAATCTAATTAGTAGGAATGCAATTATAAATCTCCCCTTCGTAACATTGCAACTTCTTTTAATTGGTGCGGCAAACATAAAATTATCCATTTTTATTTTTGATAGAGCCCACTTAATGTGAGTGTTATGTACACCATAGAGTATTATATATTTATAACATTTCTCTTTTTTGATTGGTTAGTATCCATGGAATCGGCAACAATCATGAAACGTGCCTCTAATCAGAACACTCCATGTCGCGTGTCGACGTTTGACGAGGAGCGTGTACTACACATGAAATCACCTTTAAAATCAACATCAATTAAACATTCACATCACCTCTAAAAATCACTTTTAGACTATTAAACATTCACATCATTAGGTTTGTCATCCTTTAGGTAATAACATCATTTTGTCAAGCTTTATTTAAACTATAAACTCTTTAAACATAATTGCGTATCAAACATACCATCCACTAGTAACAAAGGAAACTCCAGAATTCAAGATGAAAAACAATATCAATAAAAACAAAAAGGTTGCATCTTTCTTTATATACAGAAAATATAAGCCAACTCCAAAACTCCAAACATTCTGTGCACTAGTTTCCACATTCAGAGTTCAACTAAACCAAACTACACCACCTTATTAGCATCATTAAACATAAATAAAATAAAATAAAACGAAAAAGACGAATTCTCAACCAAAACCTTCTTATGCTTCAAATCATTCACGTAAAAAGAAACTCAAATATCGAATAAATTACCGGAGTATACTCATGGGGCGTCTACTACTGGAGCGGGCTCTGGTGGGAACTCGTTCCAAAGAGGCAACAACACGGGCAATTCCAACGCTCCCTGAAAAGAGTGATTCTCAAACATCCAATATTCAAACTGAAAATCCAACACTTCGTAATTTATTATGTTTTCAAGAAAGTATGAATTATCAGCTAGTACCAGACCTTGTTGGAAATTATCAGCTACACGCCCTTTATTAGAGTCCTTTACGTTTTCAAGAAAGTGGGAATTATCAGCTATTACCGGACCTTGTTGGAAATTATCAGCTACAGGCCCTTTATTAGAGTCCACAGCAGACCCCGCGCTCTGCAATTGTGAAAGCTGCGAGTTCAAATCGCTCTGCAATGAAACCTGCGAGTTCAAATCGCTCTGCAATTGTGAAAGCTGCGAGTTCAAATCGTTCAGGATTGAATTCGTGCTGTTGAGAGCTCGACTAACTTGCTGAAAACCCACCGGGACTCCAACTTGAGCCTGAGGTTGAGAAACTTGGTTCCCTGAGTTATTTCCCGCACTTTGATTGGGCGGGATTACGAATCTTGAACTCATTCCATTCAGAAAAGCAGTGTAAACCGAACTATTATTACAGGGCCGGAGCAATTGGCTCGGCTGAAGAGCAATTGGGTTCTGAGAAGGCAAGTAGCTCGCGTGGCCCACATTGACTGGCTGCTGTGAACGAGAAGAACGGGCCCCGAGAGTAGTGCTTCTGAGGCGCGCGGTACGGTTCACGGGGTGTGCTGCGGACGATCGACGCCTCTCCTTGAGCATTTTCTTGATTTCTGCCATGGGCCCGTTTTTTGCGAGCTGGGGACGGACGCTGTGCGGCTTCGAGATTGGATTTTTGCTGACGGGTGTGGGCTGTGGGCCCGTGGGCCGCGGCATGTAAACAGGGGCTGCAGGGGGAATCCCGATGGGATAATGGCGCAGTGGGCCCAGTGTCTGAGCCAAAAGGGGGGTGACAGCTGGCGCAGGATTAGAGATTGGATTTTTGCTGACAGGTGGGCCCGCGGGCTGCGGCATGTAAACAGGGGCCACAGGGGGAAACCCGATGGGATGATGGGGCAGTGGGCCCAGTTGAGCCAAAAGGGGTGGTCTGGCTAGGGAGGTGGTGGTGTTGCTGATTAGGGGGGCGACAGCTGGCGTGGGATTCGGGCCTTTCTTGATTCGTTTACGTTCGGCCAGCCAGTACTCGTCTTTATCGGTTGCGTGGCAATGGTCGGAACTGGAAAGTCCAGTACCCCAGAGGAGGCATGGGGCAACTGAATCGCACACGTAACAGTGGCACTGAAATTTTTTAAGAGTTTCGAATCAAACATGGAATTTGTGTATGTGGGAGTCCTTTTATCTGAAGAAAGTTTCATTTTTGTAACAAAATGTGTAATGATATCATAGAATCGTGCGTCGTTTTATGAATTAGGAATTTACCTTCTCTTTTGTGTGTGTGTGTGTGTGTGTGAGGAATTAGGAATAAATTACCAGGCTACAATGGATCTGGTGCCCAGTTGAAGCAAATAGATATTTCGCACAAAGATGTCGTGCGTGAGGGAAGTCTCTGCATGCAACCTACAAAGCATAGAGAAAACAAACAAAAGTTAGGTTTTAACTTTTAATTAAAAGCTGCACAAAGATTGATCCAGAAAGGGAATCAAATGTCTGTTAATGAGTGATAGAATTGGGATGGCATATAAAAATACCATTCCATGATCATGTTAACAAGTAAACATCGCCCATAGACTATAATCAAACTATGATAAAAGTAGAACTAATCTCTCTCTCTCTAGTCTCTCCCTTACACAGACAAAGGACAATTACACCAGACTGCAACTTGAAAGATATATGCTTACACAAGCTCTAGTTCATAATCTATTAGGATGCAAATATGGCCCAACTTGAAAGATATATGCTTACATAAGCTGTAACCAATGAAGACCTCTCACTCGGAAACAAACGAACTAAAATTGAAAATTCAAACAGAATAAACAAAGTACACACATCCATACACAGACATATTAATGACGCAGACATTTAGACATGTACCGGGCACAGAACACCAAAATTACAAAGGAATTACACAAATTGTAGACAAAATAATCATGAGAATGCAAATATGCACTCATCAATCAGTCGATCAAGGATAAATACATAAATGAACAATCTTATCCTGACTGAAAGTTGAAGGGAACATAAAAAGCATATAGAGAGAAAAACAACAAATAAAAAAAACACACATTACCTCGCCCTTCTCGGCAACAATCTCCACATCATCTCCATCATCACATTCTTCATCGACCTTAAAAATTGATTTCTGCGTGGGTGCTGCCACCACCGGTTCATCAGGGTCACCTTCCAAAACCACACAATCATCATCATCACCACCACCGGAAAATTTACCAGACGGATTCAAAGGCTCCCTCCTCGATTTCTTGGGAGGCTTCTGAAAAGTCCCACCCACCAAAACGAGGGCACACGATTCATCACCCTTATCCCCACCCTCCTCATCGGAGCTTATGTCGAGTATCACCGGACCCGAATTTTCCATAGAAACACCTGGATTCTCGATAGCTCCGTAAAAACCAAAATTCATCTCTTTTCAATTCCCATACACAGAAACAGAATCCACAAATTCAACAAAAGGATCGAGATTTCACGAGTCACGAATTAAAGAAAAAAAACAAAAGACGAACGAAAAATAACTAAAACTTCGGAGTATGAATTAGGGCTCAAGAGAAGGGCAAGTGGGCACGGCGGCAGCAGATGTGATTGGATATGGACGCAAGAGGGGCTACAAGAATTGGGGGGGAAAAACCCTAATTCCACAAAAGGGAAAAAGCTTCAGGGGTTTTCAGTTTGCATGAAGACAGTTCGCCGCCGTCTTTGTGCTGGGTCAATTTTGTAGAAGGTGGTACGGTTTTTCTCCATTTATAATCGACGCCAAAATCAAGACTTATTTGTGTGCATGTGGGCTCATATTGGAAAAAAGTATACGAAATCTGATTTACATTTAAATATATTCGGATTAGATTCTACAAGTCATTTTTTATATATAGGATCTCTTATTTTTTTGATTTATTTATTTATTTAAAAATAAAAAATATTAAGTGGACAAAAACAAAAAAATTTAAAAACATGTGGACCAAAATCAAAACCACGTATTTTGAGAATACATTTTTATTTAAAAAACGTATTTTTAAAATACGTTTTATAGTGTAAAACGTATTCCAAGGAATACGTTTTACAAGAATACGTTCTTCATGGACCATCTATTTATATAATGGGTGATTTGTTAATTATTTAACCCGTGAGAAATAAATTTAGCCCGAAAATAGACCAGACAATCATGGTTGTGTAGAATGGTTCCTTGACAACATATAGGAAGAAGCATAAATCAATTTCGAGCTTGGACGAGTCCGAACAGGCCCAAAAAGAAAAGTCGCGCGAAACATATTTAATGTGTCGGTCAAGAGCTTTGGGAGAATGTGATTTCGAGAATAATTTGGCCATGCAAGTATCATTGAATAGAGGAGTTCGTTAGCTACGTATAGGAAAAAACGGAACTCAATTCCGAGTTCAGGCGAACCCAAACGAGCCCAAAACAAAAAATACATACTACATATTAATTTTTTTTCATTAATTTTAAAATATAAAACGTATTATCAAAATACGTTTTATAAATATTATAAAACGTATTTTGATAATACGTTTTATTTCTTAATTATTTATTAAATGTTCTTAATTATTTATTAAACGTATTATCAAAATACGTTTTATTTATTAATATTTTTTATAAAACTAATATTTTTTATAAAACGTATTATTAAAATATATTTTATACTGTTTTTTCAATTATTTTAGAAAAATATTTTACAAATATAATTTTGAAACGTATTACCATAATACGTTTTTTTTTTTAAAAAAACGTATTATTAAAATNATTTTTTTATTTTTTTTAATCAATGTTATTTTTTAACATCTAGATTCTAAGCCGCTAGCCTGTAAGTTAAATAATATTATCAATTTATCATCCATTTTTCATCATCCACTTGCATCTCTTTTGATCGGTGTTTTTTAGCAACTTTAAACTTGAGTCAATAACCTGTAAGTTAATTAGTTAAATAATAAATTTTTATCTCTTTTAATCAGTGTATTTTTTTTTTTTTGGTACAAGAGAAGGAGGCTACAGAGAGCCTAAGCTAGAATCGAACGAGGGTAGGACACGCCAACCCTATCATGATGTAACCAAATACTCGCTCCCGGCGGAGGGCTTGCCAACCGTTGCAAACCACCCAGTCCCTTTGATGCCAATGAAGTCAAGTAGTCGGCCACAAAGTTGGCCTCGCGATAACCATGATTAATCTCCACCGCCCAAGAGCGACACAACAATTCATTTATCCCATTCAAAAGCCCACCATGTCGTCCGTCATAACGACGAATCTGTAACATCTCGATAATACTCTTATTGTCGACCTCAACCTGAACCTTACGGGCACATATATCCCATGCCAACGCAAAGTCCTGGAACAAACCCCATAGTTCGGCACCGACTATCGAACAAAAACCAATATTCATCAAAAAGCCATGCACCCAATTACCGTTATGATCCCGAATAACTCCACCGGCACTGGCCATCCCCGTCGCCGGGTCAAAACTTCCATCGGTATTAACCTTCACCACCGTATCTGTCGGACACTCCCACGAGATCCACCGCTTCTCTTGGGTGCCGGTCACTCCAATTTTCCGACCACTCGCCAACGTACGCTTCACCATATTCGCGAGGGAACAAACGTCATCAACACGTTGGGACACAGTGACGTCATTCCCTTGAAATATTTTTAGATTTCTCCACCTCCATAGCCGCCATGCCGTGAGCCCAAACATCGATTCCCAATTCTCCGTCGCTCTGCTCAACGTGCCATCCATATTAATCAGTGTATTTTTAGCAACTTAAACTTAAGTCGTTGGCCATTAAGTTAAATAATATATTTCCCGTAATGGTGGTGTACCCAATATTCATGATAAACCCGACAATCCATCTCCCAACCTCGTCTCGAATCAGCCCGCCCGCACTGCTCAGGCCAATGTGGCTTGGGATTTAGGCTTTCGTCAAGTTATCGCCGAGATTGACAGCCAATGTGTAACGAATATGATCCTCGGGACCGGCGAGGCTTTTGGCGCTAATGATGCGTTGGTCAAGACCATCCGCGGTTTGATTCGAAGAGACTGGAGCGTAAGAGTCCAACACGTGCACAGGAAAGCTAATTTTGCTGCCGACTATATGGCAAGTTTGGCGTACTCTGCCCCGTTAGGTTTGCAACGTTTAACGTCGCCTCCGATAGGCGCGGGTACTTGGCTCAACCATGATCTTTGCGGGGTGTCTCATCCCAGACGAACTCTAGCATCTTATTTATCCTAGGCTTTAGCCTCCTCCTTTGTACCGAAAAAAAAAATAATATATTTCCATCTCTTTTAATTATTTTGTCAGTAACTTTAAACCTGAGCCCTATCTTGTAAGTAAAATAATGTATTATCCCGCTAGCACATTTTTCTATGCTTATTCTTGTTCACCATATAAAACTCAATTATTATTTTTATAAAATTTGTTATCATATAATGTCAATATTATTACTATTTAGAAAAAAAATTATAGTCTTATTCTTTTTATTTTATGTAATGAAAAATATTAATGTACATTAATATTATTTATTATTGTAATTAATTTATAATTGTGTAAATAAATTTAAAATAAATTATTGTGTATAAATGTTTTACAAACTATGTACACATGTTTTAGAGTTTAATTGTCTCATAATAGTTAAATCACTTTGATTTAGCAATTGCCAAGAAATAAATCTCTTTTATAATCAAGATATATATATATATTTTTTTTTTAATTTGCATCTTAAAACTTTATAATCTATTTAGCATACTATGCAATGAAAATATATATTACAACAAATTCATTGTGGAAGAAATTAAAATTAAAATAAAATGATACAAAAATTCATAGTAATATATTTAAATTTATTATTAAGCTATTAGTAAAACTATTTAATGTATATGAGCATTATCTTTTAAATTTAAAATTTTATTAATTCAAAGAATTATTTTTTTTACAAATATATTGACAAAGATTAATTCACCAGCTTTATTTTTCCTAATTAATTGGAAAGAAAAAATTTACCTAACCCGTTATAATTTGCTGTAAATAATTTAGGATGAAAAGTCAATATTTGTAAAAAAAATAATAATATTATTAGAAATTAAAATCTATTTTCATGTTTATTTTGCCAAAATATTATCAGCACGAATCATGAAAAATAAATGAAATTATCATTGCAAATGTTAACAAAATTATTTAATGAAAGAATATTTTTGATCATATCTTGATCTGGTTTTAACAAAATAATTCAAGCATTTGATGTGTTTCTGTATTGATGAATTTTNATATTTTATGTAATGTAAAAAAGTCGGTAGGTTTATTTATCATACTATGCAAAGAAAAATGCATATTTAATAGTTTATACTATCAAATGTCATATTTCTGCTTATTTTATTTAATATAACATTTTCTAATAAAATATATTTATATATAAAAAAATTATCAATTTAATTTAATGGTACATAATTCGTTTAATTTACATATCAAACTAAAGCCTACAATATACTTCTTTAATTGTTGATTGAATGCAACTGTGTGCCCTAAAAGCATATCCAAGCAATTCCTAACCCTAAACACAAACTCAAAATGCAGTAAAATAAAAGTTCCAACCGATGCGCACTACGAATGCAAATGCGATACAAATCGGTCCTCTCTCCTCCAAACTCATGTATGCGTTTTTTCTATTCATCAACGCAAAAATATTGCTATTGAGAAATATAACCCCTTTATCTTAAATTTAATCATCTTACTCTTATATTTTATTAGTACGTTGGCACGTTGTTGTGCGATGCACGTGACAATAATTATAAATTGTTTGAATTAAAGCAATTAAATATTAATTACTATAAAAATAATTTTAAATATTAATACTAATTTTTTTATACTAATTTAATATAAAATTCATATGTTTATTTCACTAGTTATAAAAAAGTTGTTATTTTAGAGTTCTTGTTTATAATTAAGGATAATAATAAAATTAGGCCAGGGTATCCAAGGAGCATTAGCTAATGAGCATTAGGTCCTCAGACATACTGTTTTGGATGCTCGGAGAATTTACAATGTAATGAATTGCAAAACATAGTAGCATGCATTTAGTTAGTAAGTGACACGAGAAAAAGATTAAATAAACAAATAGAATCCTAAAAAGTGATTAGTTATAGAAATATGCAACAACATATGGACAGTATCATTATTATATAGATTGTTAGTAAAAACTTGGAAGAGTAATAGTGTGCCCATTGTAAACACTAAGAGGCGGCAATGTCATTGACATCTAAGTTCCTAACTTCACATTAAAAGACAACTGAAACTGAATGATATTGAGAACTAGAAAAGAGCGTAACATCAGGAGAAGTGTTGTACTGTCAAACACTCAAATGCATTCAAATGAAAACTAATTATATAAGAAAGGATACATTAGCATGAATTATTATACACTACAGATAAGAAAAACAAGATATAAGATTCAAACTTTCATATCCATCAAAAGCAATCTGAAAAAGAGATGTTCATCTAATCAAAAGAACAGACAAGGTAAGGTACCCTACCCCGGCAATTAGGTAGACACGAGAAAAAGAACAGACAAGGTAAGGTACCCTACCCCGGCAATTAGGTAGACACGAGAAAAAGATTAAACAGATAAATAGAATCCTAAAAAGTGATAAGTTATGAGGGTGTAGAGGGAGTAAACCAAATAGGTGAGGGCACAATCCTTTTCAAGCTCCCGACTTCGCACGGGTAATAGCAAGGGGAGATAGTCTTCTTCTCATAATCATAAATGCCGATATCGTGCCCCCCATATCTAGTTTCCTCATCCTCACCGAAATTTGAATTTCCGGGGCAGAATACCCTGTCCTCCGTGAAGTATATGGAATCGGGCTTCAGCCCGTTTGTAGCCATCACCGCGAACGAGTGGTTATGCCCAACAAACATGGACAGCCCACCCAACGACCCACCGACATAGCTCAGCTTCCCTCCTCCACCTTCTTCCCGGTCGATCTTATGCACATCAAAAGCCACCGTTTTGTACGGGTAATCGTCTCTATCGAAGTCTTCCACACACGAACCATCCGGAGCCATCTGCTCAACTAAATGACGCGTGACAAGAAACAACTGCCGCAAATCCTCTGCATACACCAAGTATCTAAGTGCCCTAGTCCAAATGCCGGTCTCCGACCTACGTATCTTCTTCACATCATCCAACCAAGCAATGTAGTTTTCAGGGCCCAACAAGTCCTTGTGGTTCCACCACACCAGCCTAGGCGAGGTGGGGTCTGTGAGATCCCACGCCTCCAAGTCGTCGCAGTCAATCTCCGTGAGGCAGAAGAATAGATTCTCCGAGCTTGAGTACACGATATCCTCGTAGTCCCGAACGCGATTGAGCGGACAAGTGTGGGCGCCAATGCGGGTCCACCTTGCCCCGCCCGGGCAGCAGAAAGCGAGGATATCCACCATGTTGTGGATCATAATGGCCCGGCAATCATCATGTTCCGGGTCTTCACCGGAGATTATCACCTTGTGGACCCACGCAAAGCCGTCGATGACGGGGACGGGCGGGAGTTTGACGTGGCGGCCGGTGAGGGGGTTCGACAGGAACAGGTCGGAGTTGTTCTGGTTGAAAAGGGCCAGCCAGCCGTGTGAGGATCCAACGATTACGGTCGTTTCTAATTTATCGTACGGTGATGTCTTGCCGTCAAAGTGCAAGACTTTGTCGTGTCCCAGGCTGTAGAAGTTGTAATTAACCATTCTGCCGCCCTCAAATGACGGCGGCAGCATCATCCACGGAACCCTGCTCGGTGCGGCGGCGGCGCTCATAGCACGAACGCCACGACCCAAATTGAGATTTGAAGGCCTAAAGGTCCAAGTTAACAATCGGAAAGCAGAAGATAACATTGACAAAGCCTCCATTTTTAACTTTACGCTTGATTTCAACCTAGTCGAATTAGCCCTTTTATGCGAAACAAAGCTCCCTCTTCCAAACCGGCGACAGCATACGAAGCCCTTTTGGCTGTGTGACTACTGCACCCACTTTTAGGTAAGCTATATCGAATTTAATTACAAATAAATAATCTATACAATTTGATTTAGAAATTTGGTGTCATGTACCTTACCTCCGGCGACGTAAAGCCACCACCTTTTGTCCGGAAAGGGTCGATTTTGGGCGAGAAAGGCGAAATCTTTGAGCAAAAAGGAGGGTTTTTGGAAATCGGAAGGGAGATTGATTCTGGAATGGGGAAATTAGGGTTGGATGTGAAAGCCGACGACGGAGATCAAGAGAGAGGTGGACCCAACTAGCACCTTATTTCATTTGGGCTCAATGTTTGTTATTTAATTTCATTGAACTCGGGAGTGTTTAATTAAGTATTGGGTTGTTTTTTTATGTTTGGGCTAGACTATGTTCTATGCCCAAGTTCTCCAAGCTTACCTGCAACACTCTTCGCGGGGTAAGGGGACTGCGGTGGGTAACTAACAGTAGCCCTACAATTAATTTTCAACCATTGATCATAAAAAAGGTAAAATAAGGCTAGGAATGAATAAGAAATAAAATAATAAAATGTCATTAAAATCATCAACCACGCTAACTGCTAATTAATACAGAGTACTTAATATATCACATACAAGAGAAACTCATGTGCTGGGACTTAATACATCACATACGTTATTTTATACAAATACATTATATATAATGAATAACAAAAATGTATATGTTCAAACTGAATGCATTTGCTGGGAGAAACTCACAAACGCATGTCTCAGTTTAAACTTTTCCCCTGAATCTATCTTCATATGTTCGTAATTAGATAATAGGTATAAGGTCCATTACAGCATACAATTATTATTGTACTCAAAATCATGAATGTAAGATAATTTAATAAAATATTGGGGAGAAGAAAAATGAAAATATAAATTTGCCGACTAGATATAAATTAGATTGTAAACAACTAAAATCAACAGTTTGAGATATGCTTCACTTCAAGTTCTAGATAAATATGGGCCAAAGTAAAAAATAAATAAATTACATAAAAATTTGATGAAGAAATGACCTTAATTACTTTTCAAGAATCTGAATGTACTTGTTGACCATACCAAGCATATCATCCCAATTGTGACCATGATGTATACTAATGCTGACAAGGTGATAATAATACATCATATAGACCACAACAGAACTAAGAGAAAACATAAATAACTTAAACTTAGTGCACGGTACTAACTTAAATCCAACACATCACTGAAATATTCACCAAATTTTCCAAGAAAATTATTAGCTAAAATAATGACGACTGGTCTGTCAAGAGGATGACCATTGACAAGCACAAAAATAATACATTACAATTCTGAAAAATAATTTATAATTGTCTTGCATTTCTCTTAAAGTAGCCCCGATAGCCCCAATCTTAGTTTCTTGGAATGCTGAAATTTAATAAATACATGACAAATGAATAATAAAATTTGTTATTGAATAATTGTAACTATTTTTTTTATAAAGATGTACCGTTATAGATTTGGGATACTACCGGGTTCGATGAAATAAAAAATAGAACAAATAGTTTTTTTCAAAATAACTTAACGATGTCCTAATATAAAAAGAATTAAATAACATATTACGACCCCAACAAAAATACTAAATACCTAAATATGACTAATATATATTATACATGCACTAGTTCTTTTATTTGTTTGTGTTAGATGATTCAATAGCAATCTCTTTCATTTTGGTTTTGACGTCCCCATAAGAAGCATTGCCGATTCAATAGTATTGCAAAATTCTTCTTAATTCATTTGGCAAAACGTATACTTTATTCAAACACTTAAAAAATATTATAGTCAAACATATAGTGAAACTTCATGGTTGTATTATCTTTATATTTCTACGAACCATGCATGAATATCTCTGCAAAATAACTAATCGTGTCATTAAAATTATTGATTATGTTTTATCATTGTATAAACTACTATATTACTCTCTCTTTATATATTGACAAATTGATACCTACCCCACGAATGTATCGCCCTACGGAGGGGAATGAATTTCATCTCTAAATAAAAGTTAACTTTTCAAAATCTAATGTACTTTTCCCGAGGTTATTTTTTGAAATCATCACATATTACCTAAAGGTACATACTCTAAAATAATTGCGCATATGATCAAATACAATATACCAATGAAATTATAAATATTCCTATAAGAAGTGTCAACTTCATTCAAATATTCAAAAATGTTTTGATCAAGCTCCAATATTTCATTTTCAATGTCATTTATTTGGAAGATAGACGAACTATATAATCTATTGTTTGCAAATTATTGATCATCTAATTTTTGCAATGATTTTAGAATTATTTATCTTAATATCCTTCACATTAGTTTGGATTTGTAATATTTATGTGTCCAATAACATTTGTAATGCTTTTATCGTCCAACTTTATGCATCATACATAATGATCAGAAAACTCAAGATAAAGATCTTTTCTTAATTCTTCACCAATGACAAAAAACAAACAAAACAAAACAATGAAGCAACATTGAGAAGCATACTATTTGTTAAAATACTTGAGATGAGAAGAATTAGAATTCTATTTTATAACTCTTAGTCATCTTTGAACTTTATTATTACGGAATCATTATTAAAATCTACATTATGTATTATAAAGTTTTAAATTTTTAATTATTTAAAATTAAAAATTGATAATATAGGATCATTATTTATGAGTTCAAATTTATTACACACTCCATATATTTAAACGCTAGCAATAGAAAAAGTATTATTTTTAAAAGACCTTTTGTTTCCAAATATTGGTATTCATACTTGTATAAGAAAATTCAAACGTTTTCTTTTTTCAATTGTATTACTATTATTTTATTAGTTTTTTATTTATTGATAAATAATACTTTATTTATTAAAAGAATTATAACACATTTATATGTATTGCATCATTTTTTGTACGTGTTTCATATAATGACGTTGTTATAAAAGTATCTTATTTATTAGGCAACAACTAATATAATCACATAAGATGAAATAAAATTTAATATTACTTATTTATTTATTTATAATAATATATTTGATAAAAAATGTACTTTTATACTGACTATTAGATTAAAAGGTTTAGAATTTTTTCCCAATGTTTGAGAAAATATTAAGAAACTAACTCATTTTGATCCTCATTGAATTTATGTGTTAGTTGAATAATAATTTAACATACAACTCATTTATTTCTCCTTTTAATTCACATAGTTAATATTGGTGATAGTTGTATGTTTACATCCATTTTTTGTTTTTCCTTAGTATGAATTTTCGGATCTATGTAAGAAAAAAATGCCGCAAGTTTATATTATGTTATGTAATACTTAATGAAATTTATTTAACATGGATGTATAATTTATTTTATAAAATACTTTTCGGTCTATTTATTATTTTAAATTAGTGTTGATAATTGATATACATCATTGGAAAGAAATGATGTCATATATTACATATAAAAGTGTAACAAATGAAAAAATAATAAGTATTTTAAAATTGAAAAATTAATAGGTAGAAAGTAATTAAATTTTTAATTAAAAGAATTTAAAATTAACATAGTGAATTTTAATGTAAAAAAAAAAAAAAAATCTATGAACTTAAAAGTTCAAGTTAAAATAAATGTGCATATCAAGTACGTTTGGTATTTCTCATTACCTAACTCCAATTGATATAAAACATTAATTAATTTTATCAATTTTATTTTTTACTTTTAGATTTAATGCGAGCTAAAAGTTTTCTCATCATTCTGACCCCTTGTTTAGCTAGTATAATACTAGTAACATAATTAAGGACTTTTTGACCTAGATGTATCTTGTTTGTTTTGAAATAATTTGCTAATTACCATAACTTATATGATAATTAGATTGATTGTGTTATATTTTCTATCATTAGCAACAATTTTCATAATAATTAGTTGCACACAATACTATATATAATGCAATTTTTTCTTATTGATTTGGAGCCCTACCTTTACTACAAGAAAATGAGAAAAATTTCAACGAAAATTTTAAAAAAAACTAAAATTAAAAATATTAAAACGGAATTCATCGAAATTCTAACGAAAATTTCAATGTTATTACTCCCGTTTGAATTTTCCAATATAATTCTAGCAAAAATATTTTATTGAAATCATGAGCAGATCTATGTTTATTTTATAGATCCGATACAACCCTCCATCCCAAAGCATATAACGTAAAGAATCTAATAAAAATTTGTCGGAACATCTTTTTATAATTTTTATCTTGTCCCCTATCAAAAAAATGAAATTGAAAGAAAGAAAGATACATAATGAATTAGTTACAACCCAACTAATTATAATTTAATTCAACTCATAACTTTATTAGTGTTATAACATAAACGCGGTATCACAACTAAAGATAATATAATAAATCTCAAAATTATAATTTTATCCTCTAATTATATTTTTTCAATCTTGATGATAGTTTCAAATGTCTCTTTTGCAATATATTTTTTTTTTATATCTTCAAAATATATATTTTTATGTCTTTTTTAACTAATGCAAGGGGAATTCTAGTTATATATTCATAATTTATAAATTCATCAATTATATTGCTGAGTCACCTATACTACAACATAGGATTTTTGTTTATAATCTTTCTTTAAAAAAATATTACTTTCAATGATTTCTAATGTTGAATTGAGAAAATTCATCATTTTCTTATTAAATATTTTTTAAATTATTGTGACTGTACTGATGTGTTAGAATGTATTACAATTTACAAGTGAGAAACATGACAAATTATGTAAAGTATAATTTATAAATTGTAATGGCACTATGTTATTTTGATGCTATATTTTTTCTATTAACTACATAGTTCCCCAATATAAAATTATTTTGGATCTGCCACTGCAATTAGTTTTCCAATGGAACTTCTATTAAATTTTTTATAATTTCAGTGACAGTTTTTTCAACGGTCGAAATATGATCCGTACAAAATTCAACAGAAATTCAAAGAATAATAATTATAGTAATTGGAATCATTTAATTCACAAAATTTTTAATGTAATTTAATTTTATCTCTGTTGGAATAGTTAATGAAATTTTCCAATAAAAGCTATACCAATGAAATATTTGTTGAAATTTTGATTGGAATATCTTACAGATGCATTTTCCATTGCAGTATATCATTTTTTTGTATTCCTTATTAAACATTATATTTAGATAGTAATTATTGAGTAATTGGGTTTACAATTTTTCTATTAAAATATATTAAACACGTGAACTTTTTAATCTATATAATTTTTTTAAAGTAACTCATTATTTTATCTCAATATTACCTATTGAATTCCCAATTGGGTTACATTTATTACATATTAAATGTTCAATAATTAAAATAATTATTATTTATATATTTAATATGATATATATATATATATATATATATATAATAGTATTTAATAAAAACTATTTAATAAAACCTCTAAAATTTTTCCTCCATTTTCGGTTACAAAATTTATCATTAATATTTTTTACTTCTCACAGTAATGCATCTTATTGAGTGTAATAATGTATTTTTCTATTATAATATATAATAATTAATGCTAATACCAAGTAATAATAATTCACAATAAATATAAATTGCATAATTATAAATAATTGTTTTAAGTTACTTATTTTAACATTAATATTATCTTTTTCTTTTGTATCTCATGAAAATATTTCTTTAAAAACAATTAGTAAATTATTTTAATAGCATAGTCAAATAAATTTAGAAGCTTATAAATAATTTTTTTTGTAATAATCAAACTGCTATTATCTAACAATAAACATTCATTAATTTTTTTTTAATGATTAAATTTTAAAAATCTACATATATATATATATAATTACTAGCTAATAGTATTTAATAAAACCTCTAAAATTTTCTCCCCATTTTCGGTTACAAAATTTATAAATAATATTTTTTACTTCTCACATTAATGCATCTTATTGAGTGCAATAATGTATTTTTCTATTATAATATATAATAATTACTGCTAATACCAACTAATAATAATTCACAATAAATATAAATTGCATAATTATAAATAATTGTTTTAAGTTATTTATTTTAACATTAATATTATCTTTTTCTTTTGTATCTCAGAAAAATTTCTTTAAAAACAATTAGTAAATTATTTTATAGCATAGTTAATAACTTTAGAATCTTATAAACAATTTTTTTTCTGTAATAATAATAATAATAATAATAATAATAATAATAATAAAACTGTTGTTATCTAATAATAAACATTCATTAATTTATTTTTCCTAATGATTAAATTTTAAAAATGTAATATGTTCATTATCTAAAATTTTAATATTAAATCTCAAATATTACTTATAATATTTTATGTATATCTGTGCATGTGCACAGGATATTTACGAGTTGTATTTGATTTTTAATGAGAGAATTTACTCATTGCATTTAATGTTGCCTCTTGCTCCTTATATAGGAAGTGTGAGGACTTGTTACATGCCAACTTTTGGCTTTCTTTTTCCTTTTACTTTACAAGATATTAACTAGATATTTAGTCACACCATATTTAATGCTAATGTACTACAAAAACACCATCTCAATAAAGTAAACTCGCTCGAGTTGTGACACGCGTCCCGCATTACTGGGCACCATTAGATGGTCGATTTCCGAATCCTGCCGCATTAAATGCGTATCGTACGGGCGATATTCTGGTAATGATGGGCTCCATTCGAACACTCCACATTTACTTCGCTTGGTTCCTACATCTGTTCGGTCCTTCCGCTGTTTTCCTGGTCGCGAGTCCAAATGGGCTTTATTTAATCTAATTCTTGTCCGTTCGGTATCCACCATGTACAAAGTGGTATCTACCATGTACAAAGGCCTCAAGTCCAAGTTAACAATCGGAAAACAGAAGATAACATTGACAAAGTGTTGCGACAAACAAAAGAGACAAAATTAAAACTCAAGATTTATGTATTTTATTTCGAAAAAGCCAAACCGTCAGTGTGAAGAAAAAGGAGAATATATAGAATCCTCTTTACCTAATTATCTATATTGCATCAAAAGAAAAGATTGGACAAAGAAAAATATTCAGATACTGTCTAAATAATGCAAATAAACATACTAATAATAAAAACAATAGAAATAAATAATTATATTAAAGCAGAGAGTCGATCATGTTTCTCTAAAAAAGCCAAGCAGGCTAGCGCAATCTCGTCTTGGATATATTTTAATTGACTTTAAAATAAAAAAAAAATAACTAGGTTTGGAATAACCATAAATATATTGAAAATTTATGATTCTTTTTATGATCATTAATTATATTTTAATATAATTTCTTATTTTTTCAATTTGAAAAAATAAATTTATTTTAATCAATTTAAATCTAAAGTAATTATATGGTGTAAGTTAAAAACTATTATAATATAAGACAAGTAAGACATATAAGGTAGGGGTGTCATTTTAAATATAAATACTAATATAATTTTCAAAAAAGTGTTTAAAATTCAAATCAATATTTTTTTTCATTATTTTTTAACTTTAAACATAATAACGAGCACCCATGTAATACTCGGTATTTTACTATTTAACTATTATGTAATAAAATAAATATAAATACAAATTTTTGATTAATGCAAAATGTATTGATTCCCTTCAAAAAAATTTGATTATTTTTTAATTTTAAGCATAAATAACAAGCACTCATGTAATACATCAAGAGTCAAATTCAACCCATTAATATTGATAAACGAGTCCAACTCAATTACTATTTCTTTTGGATAACAAATTGATCTTGACTTGACTTGTTTACACCCGTATGACACAGGGATTGAGGTGATGACCATAATTATATGTAGACATGGCCAAGGGGTCGACCCGCCGAGCACGGCCATTGTCATAAGCCCGTTCCGAAATCAGACCGGTTCAATTCCTTCTCTAAATAAACTTGACCCGCCTATTTTAGGCTTTTGAGTCAAGTCCAATACGTCGATACAAAAACTTAAAAAAATAGAAAATTTGATATTAAAATTCATGTTAGCTAAAGAAAAATGTGTCGGACCCAAAGCAGAACTAGAAACGAAACCTAGCTCACCTGTTTTAGAAACCAAAACCACGGCCCAATTTTATCTCTAACATATTGGGCTGGGGACCTGCTGGGGTCTGGCCCAGAACTAGCAGGGGACCACTAATTAACTCATTATAATATGTCCACACACACACGCAAAAATCTCACACACCCGTTACAATCACTATCCCTCTCTCGCTCTCTCGCTCTCTCTCTCTGCCCAGCGGTTTGTGAAGATGTACAGGCGATTGACGCACAGTGCCGAACGGCTGGCCGTTGTAAGTTTCTGTTCTTTCTTTGTTTTTCCGTAGTTTGATATTTTAGGCATTTTCACTGGGAATATATGTGTGGGTATTACTGGGAAAAGCTAGGGATTGAAAATTAAGAACAAGCTCAAGAACATGTGCTTTTTACTTGTAGCAGGGCTAAGAGGGTTTGGCCATTGGCCCCTGTTAGTTGGGATGATGTGCCATCTGGTTCTGGATCTTTTAAATCTTGGTGGTGCTAAAATTTGTGAAGCTGACAAAAAGGAAATTTCTCAGCCAAGGATTTGTTCAGTGGTAGCATTTTTCTTGTTGCTTTCTTGTTTTTCCCTGTTTCAGTTTCTTGCTTATTGGTATCTTTTTGTGGCTGATTTGTGTTGTAACTACTAAAGGGTTCAGTGTGCTACTGTCTTTAGTTGGTTTGGTTGTTTCTTAGTTTAGTTGGTGTCTAGGGCATCTGGTTTGATGTTTTCCTCTGTTGGTTCATTTGTAAGGATTGAACTGGTGTGGGTATTAAAGTATCGGTTTACTTGTATATGCAGATTGCTAAAGGACGCATCATGAGATTCATTCAAGTTGCTTGGCCTCCATCATCTGGGTCCAGATTGCTCGGAGCCACCGAAGAAGCTGTCCTGCCTGAGGTAAGTTGATCATTAACCTTATCATTCTGCCGATTGTTATCTATTATTAACAGTTTTTCGAATTGTGCCCATATCTACTCTTGTCGTTATCAATTTTAAATTGCTACTAGTTGCTGGATTGAAGTATTATGTGCTAAACTAATTCACTTTGTAGTAATAACTTATCTTGCACTAAGGTGTTGTCCCGGCATAAGTCGATAGCTATCTCATGGTAGCTTGTAACCGAGGGTTAGTCGCAGTCCTCACAGAGGCTGTTATGTCTTGGTAGCTTTCCATCTTTGTGTTAGTGAGCCGTACATGCCAATCTGAAAGTTTGATTTGCTCTCCGTCTTTTTGTATTAAGTGTTTGTATGTTGTTGCTACGTGCCGTGTTGTTGTTGGATGTTCTCGAGCATGCTTAGTACGTGGCATTTGAGATTTTGGATGAAACAGAGCTTTAAGCTCATTTTTGTTCTTCTTTTGGCAGGTTGCAGCCGCACCCCATCGCCCTCACTTAGGTTTGGCATCCACCAAGGCACCTCATCGTCCTCGAAGAAGAGAATTAAAAATTCATCTTTTATTTATCATTATGTTTTGTCAAACCTATCTAAACCATTTACTTTCTCACTAATAATTTATACTTTAAATTTCTAATACTACACATTACATAATTGTAAATGTAGTCGTAGTACATCAAATTGTTCATGGATATTTTACATTTCATTTTATCATGATTATTAAATTGCACGATTTTTCGTGGTACGTGATAAACCTTGTTTGGCTTTTAAAAGAATCAAGCCCCCCAGCTTGGCAGCTCGACTTGACTCGTTAAGACTTGACCTCTGTTGGACAGATTTTATAAATGATCTGAACTTGAGGAAATCGTTTTAGTTAGAACTCGAGAGTATGAATTTTACATAATTTCATGTCTTCTTTCAACTAGTTAATGCTCTAGTACAACTTATTAATATTGATCAATTAGTCGAGCTTGAGTCCGTTTACCAGCTCATATATAATTAATAAACTAAGTTCGAGTATTAGGGTTCGACTTGCGTCGACTAGTTTTACGGTATTTTACTTTTTACATGTGATTCAATTGATAAAAATAATTCAAGCATTTGATGTGTTTCTGTATTGATGAATTTTTTTAATTTTTTTTACATTTTTATGTAAAATCTATTCACGTTATCATACATACATGCATAAGAATTTATCACAATATTTTATGTAATGTAGAAAAATCGGTGGGTTTATTTATCATACTATGCAAAGAAAAATGCATATTTAATAGTTTATACTATCAATGTCATATTTCTGCTTATTTTATTTAATATAACATTTTCTAAAAAAATATATTTATATATAAAAAAAATTATCAATTTAATTTAATGTTACATAATTCGTTTAATTTACATATCAAACTAAAGCCTACAATATACTTCTTTAATTGTTGATTGAATGCAAGTGTGTGCCCTAAAAGCATATCCAAGCAATTCCTAAGCCTAAACACAAACTCAAAATGCAGTAAAATAAAAGCTCTAACCGATGCGCACTACGAATGCAAATGCGATACAAATCAGTCCTCTCTCCTCCAAACTCGTGTGCGTTTTTTCTATTCATCAATGCAAAAATATTGCTATTGAGAAATATAACCCCTTTATCTTATAATTTAATCATCTTACTCTTATATTTTATTAGTACGTTGACACGTTGGCGTTTTTTCTATTCATCAATGCAAAAATATTGCTATTGAGAAATATAACCCCTTTATCTTATAATTTAATCATCTTACTCTTATATTTTATTAGTACGTTGGCACGTTGTTGTGCGATGCACGTGACAATAATTATAAATTGTTTGAATTAAAGCAATTAAATATTAATTACTATAAAAATAATTTTAAATATTAATACTAATTTTTTATACTAATTTAATATAAAATTCATATGTTTATTTCACTAGTTATAAAAAAGTTGTTATTTTAGAGTTCTTGTTTATAAATAAGGATAATAATAAAATTAGGCTAGGGTATCCAAGGAGAATCATTAGCTAATGAGCATTAGGTCCTCAGACATACTGTTTTGTAAAGGCTCCAACTACAAGTTATTTCAATTTCCCCTCACAAAAAGCCAAGTACAAAAAGCCAAGTACAACAGTACAAGTGAAGGAAATATGCCCAACAATGCACTTTAGTACCTAAAATTTATGCACATGGTATATGTGAAAAGGGGGTTAAACAATCAACTTTTCTCCATTAGGAGATCTCACACAACTTTGAGATTATTGAGAAAGAAAACCGCAACCAAGGCAAAAGAGTACAGTAACAAACACAAAACCCAGAAAAATAAGTTATATTTTTTATCCTACCTGGAAGAAAATCACTTTGTGTTAAAACTTTTAAGTGACCATTCAAGTCGTCACGACACAACAAGAAGCAGCAGACATGAGCAATAATATATAAACTGTGCAATATTTGGACGTACATATTAATTATTTGCAATGAGGACGTGCCAGTATGAGAGCTTATGGAGCTCAAGACGATTCCCGCAAAAAATCAAATATAATAAACCATGATGAAAAAGAAAGAAAGAAAGAAAGAAAGAAAGAAAGAAAGAAAGAAAGATTAAACAGATAAATAGAATCCTAAAAAGTGTTAAGTTATGAAGGTGTAGAGGGAGTAAACCAAATAGGTGGGGGCACAATCCTTTTCAAGCTCCCGACATCGCACGGGTAATAGCAAGGGGAGATAGTCTTCTTCTCATAATCATAAATGCCGATATCGTGCCCCCCATATCTAGTTTCCTCATCCTCACCGAAATATGAATTTCCGGGGCAGAATACCCTGTCCTCCGTGAAGTATATGGAATCGGGCTTCAGCCCGTTTGTAGCCATCACAGCGAACGAGTGGTTATGCCCAACAAACATGGACAGCCCACCCAACGACCCACCGACATAGCTCAGCTTCCCTCCTCCACCCTCTTCCCGGTCGATCTTATGCACATCAAAAGCCACCGTTTTGTACGGGTAATCGTCTCTATCCAAGTCTTCCACAGACGAACCATCCGGAGCCATCTGCTCAACTAAATGACGCGTGACAAGAAACAACTGCCGCAAATCCTCTGCATACACCAAGTATCTAAGTTCCCTAGTCCAAATGCCGGTCTCCGACAAACGTATATTCTTCACATCATCCAACGAAGCAATGTAGTTTTCAGGGCCCAACAAGTCCTTGTGGTTCCACCACACCAGCCTAGGCGAGGTGGGGTCTGTGAGATCCCACGCCTCCAAGTCGCCGCAGTCAAACTCCGTGAGGCAGAAGAATAGATTCTCCGAGCTTGAGTACACGATATCCTCGTAGTTCCGAACGCGATTGAGCGGAGGACAAGTGTGGGCGCCAATGCGGGTCCACCTTGCCCCGCCCGGGCAGCAGAAAGCGAGGATATCCACCATGTCGTGGATCATCATGGCCCGGCAATCTTCATGTTCCGGGTCTTCACCGGAGATTATCACCTTGTGGACCCACGCAAAGCCGTCGATGACGGGGACGGGCGGGAGTTTGACGTGGCGGCCGGTGAGGGGGTTCGACAGGAACAGGTCAGAGTTGTTCTGGTTGAAAAGGGCCAGCCAGCCGTGTGAGGATCCAACGATTACGGTCGTTTCTAATTTATCGTACGGTGATGTCTTGCCGTCAAAGTGCAAGACTTTGTCGTGTCCCAGGCTGTAGAAGTTGTAATTAACCATTCTGCCGCCCTCAAACGACGGCGGCAGCATCATCCACGGAACCCTGCTCGGTGCGGCGGCGGCGCTCATAGCACGAACGCCACGACCCAAATTGAGATTTGAAGGCCTAAAGGTCCAAGTTAACAATCGGAAACCAGAAGATAACATTGACAAAGCCTCCATTTTTAACTTTACGCTTGATTTCAACCTAGTCGAATTAGCCCTTTCATGCGAAACAAAGCTCCCTCTTCCAAACCGGCGACAGCATACGAAGCCCTTTTGGCTGTGTGACTACTGCACCCACTTTTAGGTAAGCTATATCGAATTTAATTACAAATAAATAAATCTATACAATTTGATTTAGAAATTTGGTGTCATGTACCTTACCTCCGGCGACGTAAAGCCACCACCTTTTGTCCGGAAAGGGTCGATTTTGGGCGAGAAAGGCGAAATCTTTGAGCAAAAAGGAGGGTTTTCTGAGTTGGAAACGCATATATGTAAGAAATTAATGTATATATTTAAAAAATTTCTAAACAAAGTATGCATTAAATGTTCCTATTTTTTTTTTCTCCAATTTATTCTCGAATTTTAAAATAAAAATGGTGNTTTACATTATCATTATTATTTACTAAATATTCCTCTGTTTGTGTGTATTTTAGCATGTGCATGTCCACCCTATATTGTGTTCTCTCTCTTCCACACACAACCAAAAGTTTGTTAAGAGGAGGAGAAACTTATTGAATGATCACACACGAAGATGATAACCCTCTAAAGGTTACACAATCACACCTTCTTTTTTGTTTGTTAATCCTACATTAATACTGTTTCTTCATCTGGACAATTGATAAGAACCTTTTCACATGTTTCATTCACATTTCTTTGTTTTCTTTTATTGTTTCCATTTTTTAAAATAATGTTTCATAATCTTGCCTAGAAACCACTTGTGTTCATATGTTGTGCATATTTCATGATAGATATTCTATGGTGATTGTAAGTACAGAACAGAGAACAAGAAACTCGAATGCCTATTTCGTGTTTGTTGATTTTCCTGTTAGAGGACGATGTACGCAATTTCGCCCGTTATTTTACCTGTTTCGAAAATTCGGAAGCTTTTATTGATTACCCTTTTCAAATTGTTTGTTTGGTGACAGGGTGAAAATTGACGTCGAGTAACCCGGACAAGGACATAACAAATATCCTCTGTCTGTGGTTTCATCATTTGGTTCGAACAAGATTGACGTAAATTGTATAGCTCGAATCAATGAACACAATATCATTTACGAACATTAACAAAGTGATTGTCAACTTTTGAC